GCAACACATGCTTTCATCATCGTCGAACTCATCAAAGAGCTCTACCAGATGGAGTGCTCGATGCATTGCCACCCCAGGAGTCGTCACACTCTGGTCTGCAAAGTCCCACACAGCCTGCTGCTACCGAGCGTATTCGAGGAGAGTCTGCTCGTCGTATCCAAGTGTCTTCATGACCGGCAGACCAAGCGTTCGGCTCAGCTTCATCCACCCACACACGCAAACCACGCAACAACAGCAATCCACATGCGGTCTTGAACTCCAGGCTACCCAGGCGCACTAGCTTGGTCACAGCAATCGGTTTACTGTCGGTACCATACGGCCTGAGCGCCCAAGCCAGCTAGTTTGTTGTCTTGCGCCGGTGTTCGTAACCGACGGCTTGTCGTGTTCACAACGGCGACCTCGATGACAAATCCAAAAGTGACTTCATTACCAAGTACCTCCCTCACTTCGCAGTCAGTAGTGACGTCCCCTCACTACACACTTAATGCAGTACAGCATCCGGACGCTAGGACCCTGGAACATAATCCTGTCATCCTGGCAAAACAGGACCATTGCTCGGCTGCACCACATTCGCACGTGCAGTCGACATCGAGGCCAAGCCGAGAACACGACTTCAACCTCCCCATGGACGCGACCCGTGACGCAGCTACCTTCCAACCCTCCCACCATAAAGGTAAACCCGAATGTTGCGAATGGCTCTGGACACTTCGTGTGATTGATGCTTGGCGCACTCAAGCACCAGACCGTAAAGTTTTCTCGGGGCCGCTGGGCCGTAACCGCCTTGACTATATTTTCGCAGATGCATCCACATTCGCACACTTCGATGTCTCGTCGTCCTTCGCCAAGAACCTGTAAAATGGCGACCACTTGACCCTCACCACAACGTTCGCCTCCACCCGTACCTCACGGCGCGAGAAGACCCAACGAGGCCTCTGGCGCCTCCCGCGCGAGCTACTCCGTGAACCCGACGTGGCCAAAGCAATCCAAGCAGAGGCATCCCACCTCCTCAACGAACTAGAACAATCTCCTGGTTGCAACGTCGGGGCCAAATGGGCTGCCTTACTCGCGAGCATGAAAAAACGACTACGCCAGGCAGGACCACTACAATGCCAACCGCGTTCAAGTGGAGATGCTAAACATTCTCCGAGTCCGACGCTGGAGGGCACGCAGCGATCATGCAGCGGGCCTCCTACCGCTCGCAGATCTTCAAGCTGCAGAATCCACGTACTCCCGTGCGATGAACGAAATACGCCAATTCAGCCTCGACAAAGGCTTTGGCCACCACGCATTCAACAATGAGAAGCCCACACCTCACTTCTTCCGGAAACCACCAGCTCTCAAAATCCCAATCACTACAGCAACAGTCCTGGGCGTAAAATATGATAACCCCGACGACGTCGCGCGTGTGTTCACTGAATACTTGTCCGAGGTCATGGTACCCCCCCAATCGCCCCCCATCGGACCCGACCACGTACGGCGAAGTGCTCGACCGTATCTCCCGTACCCTCGGCGCTGACCAACGCAACGACCTCGATCGACCCCTCGAGGCCACCGAGCTACAAGCTGCACTCGAGACTTTGCAGCAAAACTGCTCACCAGGTGCAAACGGTTTCCCGGTGGAATTATTTCTGCTTGCACCGTCCACCTTGCCGAAATCCTGGTCCGCGTCTTCAACTATCTGCTCGAGTACTACAAATCTACTCTGTTTCATCAGCGTCGCAGCACGGTCGCCCTCCTTTTCAAGAAAGGAGATCGCTCGGTACCGGGGAACTATCTCCCCATCACTCTGATGCCGGTGGAAGTAAAGATCCTATCTCGGGCTATTGCATATCGCTTGTCAGCCGTCGCCCCAACACTGATCCATCCATCCCAGGCCGGATTTGTCCAAGGCCGACGCATGAGCGACCACATCCACCTCATCCAGGCTCTCCAACATCGTGCGTCCCGCGACGACGCAGAGCATTACACCGCCTTCCTTGGCTTTGAGAAGGCCTACGACCGCGTGGACCACGAGTTTGTGTTTGACGTCTCTTGCCGAATAGAAAGCAGAACCAGTTACTCATGCCTATCCTGAGAGATCTTGTTGATCTGGATTGAACACGAATCAATCCTGAATCTTCGATGACCTCATCACAACGCCCAGAAATTCCATAGTACTCAGAGTCTGGTTGAATACTCTCAACCTTCCTGGGCGCTACTTAACAGCACTGAAGAATGGCTTGGCTTCACCGTGACGGCCACCTGGACGCTCACAAGGCTGGAACTTGACATCAGTAGCGTACAGTGCGTACGGATGGTTGGCGAACCGTGCACCTCGAGCGGCGAGTTGTGCCATGGATGGCATTTTGACGAGGCTGTCGTAGAACACGGGCGAGGCAACTTGAATGACACGCATGTTGAGCTTTTGGAACGTCGGTGCCCGGAAGTTGGAGTCCAAAGCGTGCTTTTCCCAAGAGTCATGAGGTTTCAGAGCAGCCATCGTCATCAGCAGTGCGTCTTTGGGGCTAGTTGATGGCTTAGCACCACGACCACCGTGCCAACGAGCCTTCAGCGGCACCTCCACCATGCTCCAGAGTGCGTCGAATTCTCGCCGAGTGAAATTGGTCAACGTACGGATTCCTTCGTCGCCCGAGTCTTGCCACGCCTTGTCGAAGACTGGGTTGGCAGTGTCAACAACCTCTTTGTGCTGGTCGATGGTGGCAGCGAAGTCTTGGAGACATTGCTCCAAGAACGCTTGGTCGGATGCCCGTAGATCTTCAAAGCGTGTGATCATTGCGGCAATGTTGAGTACCATGGTGGTGGTGCAAGGTTGAATGAAGAGTGAAGTGAAAGGTCGGGGTGGATGCGTGTTAGTGGCGCGAATGCAATTGCTTTGGCGGGAGCCAATTGAATTTCAGAACGCGTTAAGACCCTTGAAATTCTAATGGTTAGCGCTCATTTCATTTCATACCACGATATGATCAGTTAATAGGTGGCTGAAGAATTTTAACAGCTTTTTGGAAGGAATGCGGTGTCTGACATATTAACGGGAAGTGTCGAAGGATTGTCAGATCTAATATGTTCACAAGTCCATTTGTTAAACACTATAAATATTCGGTATACTTGCGAGTATGTGATTGTGGACTCGATATCTGGTTTCGAAGCCTAATGAACATTAGCCCCCAGTTCCTCCGATGGGTGCGATTCATTTATACAGGCCCCTCCGTCCACCTTCTGTTGTACAACTCCCTCGGTCGGCCATCCACACCAACCGGGGCACGAAACAAGGGTATCCCTTGTCATGTCTTCTCTCGATCTCTACCTTTACCCCTCGGAGGCATGTTACGCGCAGCACCCCAGCTTGGTATCCCGCTACCTGATGGTACGGCGCTCACCAGCGTGTACTTTGTTTATGACACTACTTTCCTGTCGAACTCGCTTGAGTCAGCAGAATACAAAGTCGACGCTATTGTGGGCAAATTCTGTTCCGTCTCTGGGCGGCTCTCAATCTAGACAAATGTGTTACTCTGGTCCTTAACAACAACGAAACTCCGCTGCTCCGCCGCAGCACGCCTTCCCTCATCCTCGCGCAATCGGGGACTCCGATTCGATACCTTGGGGCGTTTGTTGGTCACAACCTGGACCCTGAGTACCACGTTCAGCTCGTCACCGATAAACTCCTTACGGCCCTCCCACAATGGAAATATCGCGCTCGAACTCTGGCAGGTCGGCGCATCATCGCTTCCACCATGGTGCTGTCCCAAATCTGGCACATTACGGCCGCCACCCCAATACCAACACCTCGCGTCCTCCTATGGTAACGTCTGATCACGAATTATGTTCTTGGGAGTCGCACATCTCACGACCCTAAATACCGATCCATGTTGCATCATGCTTGGCATTATGACAAACACTTGGCCTCGGTATCCCCCACATCGCCTCGACCCTTCGTTACCAAAGGCTGTCGCTCCTCCAGCGCTTAATGCTTGCCCACGTGTCCTCGTCTCCACCACCATGGGCTAGCCTGGCCGTCCAGCAACTAGAACGCTGCCTTCAACAACTCTGCCGCCCGTCCCACCCCATTGACTTCCTTTGGCGATCCCCTCACCACCTATCTTCGTGGATGAATGTCTATGAACTCCACCCCCTGTGGCTCAATGTTTTGCGCGAGTGGCTTCGTGTGCCACAGAACAAACGCATGGCACGACCCTCAGACTGTGCCAACGTGCTTGATATGCCCCTGTGGGATACCACATACGCTCCGTTCCACGACGGCCAGGGCCGCAATGCAGCACGGATCGCCACCCACCAGAAAGTAACCAGAGCTTGGTGCTTGCATGGCGCCGGAAATGGGTTCCGGTGTCTCCGTGACTTCCTTCGAGCTGGCTTTGGATCCTGGCCCTCCTACACAGAGTTCCTAGGACACATGTCCTCGGGCAACCGCTCCACTGCGATCGGCTTGCACAGTGGCTGCATCCGCTTTTGTAACGGGGTCCAGCGGTTAGCTGAACCGTGGTCCGCAACATGTGTTGCGTCGACGAACAATCTCACAAGTTTCAAGTGCCATACTTGGCAATCCAAGTTATTCAAGATCATTGGTGTAGAGCCCAAGTTAGGCTCCACCACTCATTGCAGTTCAATGAGTTTGACTGGCGCACAGCCGTGCGCAGTAGTTGCTAGCAAGAGGTAGCTAGCTTAATTCAG